TGTCACCAGATAAATGCTAGGGGTGTGGTGGTGACATCACTGAGCTGGCCGGGGGGGTTGGCCTGGGACCAGGGCCAGGTTTATGAATAGGGATGATGGGATGTGTAGTCACTCCTACTACATCAGACACACAGTGAGCACTAGGGACCCTCTGCCAGGGACATGCTGAGCACTAGGGACCCTCTGCCAGGGACATGCTGAGCACTAGGGACCCTCTGCCAGGGACATGCTGAGCACTAGGGACCCTCTGCCAGGGACATGCTGAGCACTAGGGACCCTCTGCCAGGGACATGCTGAGCACTAGGGACCCTCTGCCAGGGACATGCTGAGCACTAGGGACCCTCTGCCAGGGACATGCTGAGCACTAGGGATCCTCTGCTAGAGACATGCTGAGCACTAGGGACCCTCTGCCAGGGACATGCTGAACACTAGGGACCATCTGCAAGGCACATGCGCAACACTAGGGACCATCTGCCAGGGACATGCTGAACACTAAGGACCCCCTATCAAGGACATGCTGAACACTAAGGACCCCCTATCAAGGACATGCTGAACACTAGGGGCCCTCTATCAAGGACATGCTTAACACTAGAGGCCCTCTACCAGACACATGCGCAACACTAGGGACCATCTGCCAGGTATATGCTGAACACTAAGGGCCCTCTATTAAGGACATTTTGAACACTAGAGGCCCGCTGCCTGGAACATGCTGAATACTACAGACCGTCTGCCAGGGATATGCTCAACAAAATGGACCCTCTGCCAGGGATATGCTCAACACTAGGGACCGTCTGCCAGGGATATGCTCAACACTAGGGACCAGGGGCAGACTGACCATTTGGAAACTCGGGCACTGCCCAAGGGCCCAGGGTCAGTAGGGGGCCCCATGAGATGCCCCTGGTACCTTTTTCATAGGCTTTTTTTGAGTTTGGGCAAGGACACAGGGGCCCCATGATCCCTTATTGCCCAGGGGCCCCATGAGTTGTCAGTCTGCCCCTGCTAGGGACCGTCTGCCAGGGATATGCTCAACACTAGGGACTCTCTGCAAGAGACATGATGAGGACAAAAAATCATCTCTCAGGGATATGGCGAAGACCAAGAACCTACTTCCAGGGACATGCGGAGTACTAGAGATTGTTTGTCATGGACCCAGTTAGCACTAAGTACTCTTTGCCAACACATTAAAGCACAAGAAGTGTTTTGTCAGGGACCACCCAGGGCACCCCCCCAGGAGCAGCCTATGTACATGGGACCCTCTGCCAGGGACATGCCATGTACATGGAGCACGTTGACCCAATGACAGATGCCATGTCCTGTATTGGGAAAGCATGCTCCCATTGTTAGAGGTGAAATCTGCTGTATTATGACTTTTATTTATTTCAGGTACTTATATATGGCTGTCAGTTTACGCAGCACCTTACATATATATTGTACATTCACATCAGTCCCTAACCCTCAAGGGGTGTACAATCTAAGGTCCCTAACCCTCAAGGGGCGTACAATCTAAGGTCCCTAACTCACATTTATACATACACATACTAGGTACAATTTAGACAGGATCCAATTCACCTACCAGCATGTCTTTGGAGTGTGGGAGGAAACTGAAGTACCTGGAGGAAACCCACACAGGCACAGGGAGAACATGCAAACTCCAGGCAGAAGGTGCTGACATACAGATGTACAGGCAGCGGTAGCCTGGGACGCACCCACGTGCTGCCATATCAGGACAGAACGGGACGCACCTTTCCTGTAAATCATTTCTATCGTGAACGTGCCTCTCCCAGTCTACAAACAATCTGTTGATTTAACATGACACCTTGTGCAAGCCGAGCATTATCTTTCATAAAACTTCAAGTAAAAACTGAAATTTGCAAGAATTTGAATATTTGTTGTCGTTAATGTGTCTCAAGGACAGGAAGTGAGTGGAAATTCCCCAGTGGGGCCAAAGAGAAGGAACAGAAACCTTACAAAGGATCTAACCCTCCCCGCCCCCCCCCCCCAAAAAGAAAGAAAAAACGCCTGGAGCACGGGGGACATTCTGCACCGAAGATCCAGGACTCCCAGGGAGCACATTGGCTTAACGTTAAGATTAAAAACATAAAAGTCCCGCCCATGAGGAGACACCACAGATTGTCTGCTATTGGCCAGAGATTCCAGCCTCTGTGCACCTGCCTGGATTAGTTTCACTTTCTTGCCCCTTGCTATGTCAGTTCCTGTGCACTTTTCAAAGTTTACAATGGACAGCAGGTTCACCTTCAATTACAACAAAGGACCACTGTGAACCCAATATTTGCGGGGTCCCCTTTCACCCAGTTATGTCAGCGGTTTCCAGTGACAGGTTCCCTTGTAAAAAGGCCTCATATAGGCGCTTTGTGCATCTAAGCTGGACGCCCAATTGCAGCCCCGGGTCAGTTCTAGAAATAAATCGGCAATTCATTGCGTTCCACCAGAAACTATCATGAAACATGGCGGTATCCGTAAAATTAAAGTGGACCTGTTATTGGAGATAAATGTTTCACAGTACATGCATGCATAAAAGTCCCGCCCATGAGGAGACACCACAGATTGTCTGCTATTGGCCAGAGAAACTATCAAGAAACATGGCGGTATCCGTAAAATTAAAGTGGACCTGTCATTGGATACAAATATTTAACTAAAAACATATAAGTGAGCGCACAGAGAAAGCTTCTCCTGACGAGTTTCGTCCCTTCGATAACGTGCTTTAGCACGAAACACATGGAAGGAGCTGTCCACATATGCTGTGAGGGTCCGGTGGAGAGGTTTGGAGTACCAATTCTGTGTGTATACCCCAGTGGAGCCCCCTGCCGCTGACCATATCCCTGATGACCATCAGTGTTCTCCTTGGATATTATTATATGCGCAATTAACTTGCGCTTCTGGTGAATGCAAGCATGTCTAATTTTTATCACGAGAAGTCACGAGCGCAGAAGTTTCATTCACTATCTTCATTGGACTGTACTGTTGTATGATCATCACCATATACAGTCAGGTCCATAAATATTGGGACATCTACACAATTCTAACATTTTTGGCTCTATACACCACCACAATGGATTTGAAATGAAACGAACAAGATGTGCTTTAACTGCAGACTGTCAGCTTTAATTTGAGGGTATTTACATCCAAATCAGGTGAACGATGTAGGAATGACAACAGTTTGCATATGTGCCTCCCACTTCTTAAGGGACCAAAAGTAATGGGACAGAATAATAATCATAAATCAAACTTTCACTTTTTAATACTTGGTTGCAAATCCATTGCAGTCAATTACAGCCTGAAGTCTGGAACGCAGAGACATCACCAGACGCTGGGTGTCATCCCTGGTGATGCTCTGCCAGGCCTCTACTGCAACTGTCTTCAGTTCCTGCTTGTTCTTGGGGCATTTTCCCTTCAGTTTTGTTTTCAGAAAGTGAAATGCTCAATCGGATTCAGGTCAGGTGATTGACTTGGCCATTGCAGAACATTCCACTTCTTTGGTTGCTTTTGCAGTCTGCTTTGGGTCATTGTCCATCTGCACTGTGAAGCGTCCAATGAGTTGTGAAGCATTTGGCTGAATATGAGCCGATAATATCCCCGAAACACTTCACAATTCATCCGGCTGCTTCTGTCAGCAGTCACATCAATAAATACAAGAGAAGCAGTTCCATTGGCAGCCATACATGCCCACGCCATGACACTACCACCACCATGCTTCACTGATGAGGTGGTATGCTTAGGATCATGAGCAGTTCCTTCTCCATACTCTTCTCTTCCCATCACTCTGGTACAAGTTGATGTTGGTCTCATCTGTCCATAGGATGTTGTTCCAGAACTGTGAAGGCTTTTTTAGATGTCGTTTGGCAAACTCTAACCTGGCCTTCCTGTTTTTGAGGCTCACCAATGGTTTCCATCTTGTGGTGAACCCTCTGTATTCACTCTGGTGAAGTCTTCTCTTGATTGGTGACTTTGACACACATACACCTACCTCCTGGAGAGTGTTCTTGATCTGGCCAACTGTTGTGAAGGGTGTTTTCTTCACCAGAGAAAGAATTCTTCACTCATCCACCACAGTTGTTTTCCGTGGTCTTCCGGGTCTTTTGGTGTTGCTGAGCTCACCGGTGCGTTCCTTCTTTTTAAGAATGTTCCAAACACTTGTTTTGGCCACGCCTAATGTTTTTGGGTTTGTTTTGTTTTTTCAGCCTAATGATGGCTTGCTTCACTGATAGTGACAGCTCTTTGGATCTCATCTTGAGAGTTGACAGCAACAGATTCCAAATGCAAATAGTACACTTGAAATGAACTCTGGACCTTTTATCTGCTCATTGTAATTGGGATAATGAGGGAATAACACACATCTGGCCATGGAACAGCTGAGAAGCCAATTGTCCCATTACTTTTGGTCCCTTAAGAAGTGGGAGGCACATATGCAAACTGTTGTAATTCCTACACCGTTCACCTGATTTGGATGTAAATACCCTCAAATTAAAGCTGACAGTCTGCAGTTAAAGCACATCTTGTTCGTTTCATTTCAAATCCATTGTGGTGGTGTGTATAGAGCCAAAAATGTTAGAATTGTGTCGATGTCCCAATATTTATGCACCTGACTGTATCTGAACATCATTTTATAACGATCACTATTATTCACGATTTGCTTTATTTTATTTATTCATGTTTTATCTGGACTATAATATCATAGTGACGGATCATTATACATGTTGGATATAATTATTGACATTTATCATATATATTGTTTTGTTGTTTAACACAGGGCTTAATATTTCAAGTCCTGAGCTACTAGCCAGGCCTTAGAGTTACACGCCACCAACAAACACACACAAACAGAGACACCTCTACACACACACAGACATGTATACACACACAGAAACATGTACACATATGCACAGAGACACATGTACACACACATACAGACACATGTACACACACATACAGGCACATGTATACACACACAGGCACGTACAGACACGCATACACACAGATACATGTACATACACAGAAATAAACACGCACAGACACATGTACATACATACAGAGACATGTACATACACATGTACACACAGACACATGTACGTACATACACACATGTACATGCACACACACACACAGACACATGTACACACACAGACACATGTACACACAAACATACATGTACATACACGCAGACGCATGTACAGATACACACATGTACAATTGTACATGCATACACAGACACACACATGTACATACACGCAAACGCATGTACAGATACACACATGTACATGTACAATTGTACATGCATACACAGACACACACATGTACACCCCCCCCTCCATAAAAAGTTGCAGTACTTCGTTGTTCGCTCACAGAGCCGGGTACTGCACTCTAGGGGGAGGCAGAGAGCACAGCACACACTCCTTGCTTTGCTTTCACTGCGTTCAGCTATTGAGCAGTCTGACGGCTCCCAGTGCAAATGACAGATCTGACCTGAGCTCCGAGCCTGCTCAGCAAGACGGCCCTGGGGGACACACTCGCCCCCACCATCATTTCCACTCGCCACTGGCGAGCAGGCGAGTGGAAATTTCAAGCCCTGGTTTAAACATATCCATTCACATCTGCACTCGTCGTTCAGCAGACGAGATTTATCACAACATATCCATTCACATCTGCACTCGTCATTCAGCAGACGAGATTTATCACAACATATCCATTCACATCTGTACTCATCATTAAGTAGATGAGATTTATCATTGCGCACTATCATCACTTATCATTTTTGTACTTTTTTGCATCTTTCTCTTTTTAGAGCTGCATATTTGGATATAAATGTTTCACATAGAATACATGCATGCTTAGTAAAGTGTCAGTGTAACCCTTCCATCTATTTATTACCTCTCACAGAGGTCACAGTACCCCCCCCCCCCCCCCCCCGACAATGCTTTCATCTGCTTTTCACTCCAGAAGGGCGGAGCCATCTTTGTTCAGGCATCATCCAGGGTCGCCATCTATTTCCTGGACTAAATTGCTGGCTTAGAGGTGACACAATTATGTAAATCCTAGCGGCAGTTCTTGTTTTCACAGCTACAGTATTGTATTCTGATCATGGGGGCGGGGGGTAGGCATGAGACTGAGGAAATGCTTCCTCAGTTTCCTGATGACATCATCTCAGCTTAGGCAAAGTCACTGGACAAGAACTCAAGGGTGGCTTTTTAACCCCTTTCCACCATCATCATCCGCTGGCCCTGCAAGAGGCAACCACATTATTGAGTTTTGTAAATGTGCGCAACACACCACGCATATGCACGTTTTTACGCGTTGTCGGCCCACGTGTATACGGCAGACCATTTATTTCAACGGGCTGCTCTATGCATGAAAAACATGGCAAAGTAACTCATTCACCTTTTTAACTGCATGTATTTCGTGCACTTTTTCGCAATGGTGGTCAGGTAGAGAAGAGACCCTTACATTGGTAGTCAGAGGGAGAAGAGCCCTCCCGCATTGGTAGTCAGGAGGAAAACTGCCCCTTACGTTGGTGGTCAGTGGCAGATGGAATGTCTTTTGGTGGTCAGAGGCTGATGAGCCCCCTTACTTTTGTGGTCAGAAAGAAAAGGAACCCTTTACATTGGTAGTTAAATGGAGAAGGCCCCATATTACATTGGTAGTCAGTGGGAGAAGGACTTACATTTATAATCAAAAGGAAAATGGTCCCCTACAGTGGTATTCAGATGGAGAAAGGACCCCTTATATTGATGTTCAGTAGGAGAAGGGTCTCTTTACATTATTGGTTAGAAGAGAAGGGACCCTTTACATTGGTGGTCGGTAGGAGAAGGGACCCCTTACATTGGTGCTCAGATAGAAAAGGGTCCCTTGCATGGGTGGTCAGTTGAAGAAGGGACCCTTTACACTGGTGCTCAGATACAAAAGGGCCCCTTGTATTAGTGGTCAGTAGGAGAAGGGTCCCCTTACATACAGTCAGATGGAGAGGGGCCCCTTACATTGCTGGTCAGTAAGTGAAGGATCCCCTTGCATAGTAGTCAGTTGGAGAAGGGCCCACTTACATTGGTGGTCAGTAAGAGAAGGGACACCTACATAGTATTTAGGCAGTGAAGGACCCCTTACATTGGTGGTCAGGAGGACAAGGACCACTTCATTCATGGAAAATGGCAGAAGTGCCCCCTTGGATTAGGGATCAGTGGAAAGCACCCCCCCAACATTGTTGGTCAGTGTACGAAAGAGACCAAACTGTCAATGTTCATGGAACCCCCAGCAGCCTCTGGTGGAACCCTGGTGGAGAAAGGTTGGATTGGATGACTAGCGGTAAGTGGATGTCATTTGTTGTACGACTCTCCTAGAACACATGGTCCTCGAGGCAGTCCGTGTGCTGTCTCCTGTACGATCCAGTTGGACTGGTTGGGGTAGTACATGGAGTGAAGGTCAGGTATGAGGAAGACAGAGGGATGACATAGCTGGGATGATGATCACACCTCTGCTTATCTGCCTCAGGGTTATTCTCTGCCCGCGGTTTCCTGCTGCGTGTTTACAAGGATCATTTTCACTTTCTCTCTGACATGTTTATGTAAGTCACCTGAGTTCTCTATATGGCTCAGAGCCGTGACCGCCATGGTGTGTGTTCTGCCAGGTGGGATCACTTTTCAGCCATGGACTACCGAGAGATATGCAGAGACTGTCAATGCTGACCTCCTTCTGGACTGTCAATGATGACCTCCTTCTGGCCTGTCAATGCTGACCTCCTTCTGGCCTGTCAATGCTGACCTCCTTCTGGACTGTCAATGCTGACCTCCTTCTGGACTGTCAATGCTGACCTCCTTCTGGACTGTCAATGATGACCTCTTTCTGGCCTGTCAATGCTGACCTCCTTCTGTCCTGTCAATGCTGACCTCCTTCTGGCCTGTCAATGCTGACCTCCTTCTGGCCTGTCAATGCTGACCTCCTTCTGGCCTGTCAATGCTGACCTCCTTCTGGCCTGTCAATGCTGACCTCCTTCTGGCCTGTCAATGCTGACCTCCTTCTGGCCTGTCAATGCTGACCTCCTCCTGGAAATGCTAGTTTCCTGGCTGTCATTCTGATCCTGTGGATTGGATAGTTTCAGTCACTGACTCCGAACAAGCCTGCAGATAAGGACTTATGACTTCCCTGATCCCCATATTTTTTCAGTTCTGAAACTGGTATTTTCAGAAGGGCAGCTACGACTCTTAGTAATGGCCTCCCTGAAAATCAGAAGTCTACGGGGAGCACCTCTCACCATTGCCCAACATTTAGCTGAACCGGGTTTACTACCCATTGAGGCGTGTGAACTTTTTGGGTGGAAGGCAGTCATATGCAAATGAGACAACTCTCTGTATTTACTTATTTGCTTTCTGTGTGGAAACAGTGGTCTCTCTGCCAAGGTCTGACATGCCTCCTGCTGAGCCAGAACCACAGCTCTCCAATTGGCAGGGAGCATGAGCTAAGCTGGCTCTAGAGCTGTAGGTCTTACTTACAGGGGGTGAGTTGGAACTCTGCAGAGAGACTACTGCTTCCCCAGAGAAAGTAATGGTATTTTTTCAACAGCATGCTGGCAGGGGATAGGCTCTATGTCTCAGGCTGTGGCTACTTTCTAAACAAACTCTATGACATTGAACACCTTCTGATGCACCAGGGATGCATTTAGCTAAATTAAATTGAAGGTTCCTTTGGGATTTGAAGTTTTTTGGCTGTATTGACTTTTGTTGCCCTTAAACTTCTTTCTGAGCTCAGACTCATAATAGCATGCCTTAAAAGGCTAAGCTTGCATGTTATGTTATTTCAACCACCATTCAACAAAAATTTAATCTGCACCAGCTGATGAACAGATATCCACTATATTGCCAAAAGTATTGGACCCCCCCTCCACATCATTGGATTCAGGTGATCCAATCCCCTCCACATCATGTGATTCAGGTGATCCAATCCCCTCCATGGACACAGGTGTATACAATCAAGCCCCTAGACATGCAGACTGCTTCTACAAACATTGGTGAAAGAATGGGTCGCTCTCAGGAGCTGTGACTCCAAGCGTGGTCCCGTGATAGGTGGTCACCTGTGCAATAGGTCCATCCGTGACATTTCCTGGCTACTAAATATTCCACGCTCAACTGTTAGTGGGATTATAACAAAGTGGAAGCCACTGGGAACAACAGCCACTCAGCCACCAAGTGGTAGGCCACGTCACATGACAGGGCGGGGTCAGCGCATGCTGAAGCGCACAGTGCGCAGAAGTCACCAACTGTCTGCAGAGTCAATAGCTAAAGACCTCCAAACTTGGTGTGGCCTTCAGGTTAGCACAACAACAGTGTGTAGAGAGCTTCATGGAATGGGTTTCCATGGCCGAGCAGCTGCATCCAAGCCTTCCATCACCAAGTGCAATGCAAAACGTTGGATGCCATGGTGTAAAGCACGCCGCCACTGGACTCTAGAGCAGAGGAGACGTGTTCTCTGGAGTGACCAATCACGCTTCTCTGTCTGGAATTCCCATGGACGTGTCTGGGTTTGGCGGTTGCCAGGAGAACGGTACTTTCCTGACTGCATTGTGCCAAGTGTAAAGTTTGGTGGAGGGGGGATTATGGTGTGGGGTTGTTGTTCAGGGGTTGGACTTGGCCCCTTAGTTCCAGTGAAGGGAACTCTTAAGGCGTCAGCATACCAAGACATTTTGGATAATTTCATGCTCCCAACTTTGTGGGAAGAGTTTGGGGATGGTCCCTTCCTGTTCCAACATGACTGCGCACCAGTGCACAAAGCAAGGTCCATAAAGACATGGAGGAGCCAGTTTGGGGTGGAGGAACTTGACTGGCCTGCACAGAGTCCTGACCTCAACCCAATAGAACACCTTTGGGATGAATTAGAGCGGAGACTGTGAGCCAGGCCTCCTCCCCCGACATCAGTGCCTGACCTGACAAATGTGCTTCTGGAAGAATGGTCCAACCTTCCCATAGACACCCTCCTAAACCTTGTGGACGGCCTTCCCAGAAGAGTTGAAGCTGTTATAGCTGCAAAGGGCGGGGCCAACTCAATATTGAACCCTACGGACTAAGACTTGGATGCCATTAATGTTCATGTGTGTGGAAAGGCCGGCCGACCAATACTTTTGGCAATATAGTGTACATGAAATACAAGCTGCAAATATGGAACAGCAAAACAAACTAAACACAAAATCAAAAAACACAATTATAATTTTTTCCGATGGCAATAATACTATATGGCTAATGTACAACCTAACCCTACACTGGAAACCCCTCCCCCATCCTTGGCCACCCTATCAGCATCTCAGCGCACCGTGCAGCCACCGCCAATGCACGACACGTAGTCTTTGGCAAAGAGTGGGATCTGTGTTTAGGTGGAGCTGCTGATTGGTTGAAAGCAAGCTTGGAGATTTGTCCTCTCTTACTGTCCCGGGGACAACAATTTCATTAGACAGGAAGTTGAAATAAATGTGGCCCCAGGTAACAGTAGAGCCCCACAATTTTCAAAACTAGTGAAGTCAGAAAGTTTTGGCTGGACGTGCACTTTAAATTATTGGCCAACACTGATGCAACGCGGATTCCACCCTGAAGTTTGGACACG